AACGACACTCTTTACGAAGAAAGTTATGTAATCCTTTTTCATCTATTTTCTTGATTCCTCTTCAGTTCCTTTTTCATCTATTCCTTCTCTTCCTCCCACTTCCTCTTCCATTTATCTATATGACCAAGCACATATAAATACCTAAAACATTATTTGTAGACATTTCTTCAAATACATAGTGAGCATAATCATATTAACCTATAAAGATGCTCCATACAATTTAGGAATATTTTTTAAGCAATTAGATAAGTTTAAACAATTCCAAAACATAAATACCCCGGAGTATATTTTTTGAAATTGGAAAAAAAAAAAGACAAACAAAAGTTATTTGAATCATGGCAAGCATCCATTGACATAAATTGATTCCCAGAACCACAAATTCATTCCCAGGAAGCATCCAGTGACAAAAAAAGACAAACATAAGTTTATGTGGCTCAAATTGATGCCCAGAACCATGGCAAGCATCCAGTGACACACTGTTGAACCAAAAACTCAGCATGAATTTCCCAATAACTCAATAATTCATTTTGAAAAACAGGCTTTTCTTCCGGTTTGTAGATCTAAACAAAAGTGTTTTTAACCCAAATTTGAATGGAGTAAAAATATTCCAATAATATTTTTCTTTGAATCTTAATACTCCAATAAGTCAATTTTTAACAGTCCAAAGTTGGAATTTGATGAAGTGTGCGAGATAGTTAATTAGGGCACACTAGAACAAATCCAAGAATCTAAAATATGAAAGGGACGAGTATAGAAAAAACCTACCTTAAAGATCCCGAACAGAGGAGAGGAAGACGACCAGAGGCGATGATGGAGGAGTGATGAAGAAGACAACTGAAGAAGAAGAACGTCCGATGAAGAAGAAGGCCGAAGAAGAAGAAGTCAGAAGAAGAAGAAACGGCCGAAGAAGTAGACGTATGGAGTTTATAAAGATTTGGGAATGGATTTATATTTATACTCAATGTTTAAAAATCCATCAAAATCTAAACTTTTAAAAATCTTTAAAAATCGATCAACTTTTTGAATACTATCATATTTAAAAGGATTTTTTAAATTCTCAATTGAATACATTCAGATTTTAAATGACTTTTTAAAATCTGAATTGAATACCTACAGATTTTCAAAATCCAAAAAAATCCATCAGAATCCTGATTGAATACACCCCTTTAGATTGTCCAAATTGGCAATCTAGGGGGTAGGGGAGACTAGGGTGGGGTGCAGAGGGGTGACAGGGGATTTGAGAGTTAAGAGAAGCGAACAATCAATTTTACCAATAAAGCATCGTAAGTGTTCAGATAATAATACTTCTTTCGTCCTAAAATTTTCTTCTAACTTCCACTTTTTTGTTTTCCTAAAACTACCTCCCCACCGTGTCCGCAACTGTACTATGTCCAGCCCTATCTCCGTCTCAACTTACTATTCACGAAATCAAACTTCAAGCACGTTCTTTACACATTTTTTCTACCTATTTGAGAAAATAATATAGTCTTGTTATCTCTTATTTTGTAGAATTTTTGATGTAGTTTTTAAATATTTATTTTTTACTTCTAATTTTTTTCCAATTTTCAAATGAATTGAGTTGAAAATAATTTTAGTAAAACCTCGTAAACAACAACATACAACTCTCTTTGAGATGGAGGAGTACATCAAAATATTTAAGATTAAAGTAGGAGTAAAAAATATTGAAAATATATCAAAATATAACTTTTATGTTTTTATTTCCGAAATAAGAGTCAAAATGTATTTACAGTGTCAATCATGACTATATACATTACAACAAGATATAGTGAAATGTACATGTATGTATACTGCCACATTACCACAATGCGAACTCTTATTTTGATACTGTCTCTATATTTTACTTAAATTCAGAGTGATTACTTGGTTAACTTGTAGTACTCTTTGACCACGAATTAGATATAGTATAAAATAATTAAGTATTATAAAAGTTTTGGTATTTAAAAACTACTCCGTATATCTTAAAATAGATCCAATTTTACTAAATTTATATCATAACTAAATATATGTTTTCTATAATTTTTGATAAAAAATGTTACAAGAGAGTATTTGTTGTACTCCTTCCGTCCCAGAGTATTTTGTCCACTTTCATTTTTACACACTATCCAATGCACTTCTTTAATGCATTTTATCTTGTAATTTGTATATTAAAAAATTATAGAAATTATATATTAATAATCTACTCCCTCCGTCCCAAAAAGATTTACACCTTTCAAAAAAATTGTGTCCCACAATCTCCTACCCATTTATATTAAAAAACCACTTTTACCCCTTACTTTTTCAAACCCTACCTATCACATCATACTTTTTTCCTAATAATCTACACATCACATCCTACTTTTACCCATCACATCAAGGGTATTTTTGGAAAGTCAACACAAAATTATCCTTCCTTAATTTCTACTTTAGTCAAAATGGGTAACACTTTTTGGAAGTATATGTTAAGACAAATCAAACAAGATCATACATGACTATATTTAGGCTTACAGATTGAGAGAATTTGATGAGTCAAAGTGTTTAGATGAACAGTTCCAAAAATTAAAAGTGGACAAAAACTAGGGACGGAGGAGTACTTAGGGGCTGTTTGTTTCAGCCTCTTAATGATTCAGATGTCTGAATGATTCAGCACTTAATGGTTCAGACTGTTTGTTTCAGTCTCTTAATGGTTCAGAAGTCTGAATGGTTAAGATATTTGCCTCTGAATGGTTAAGTATTATACAGAGTCAGAATGGTTAATATCTCTTATCTGAATTGATCAGACATTTTCCTCTCAATAGTTAAGCAATATACTACTCCGTAGCTCTTAATGGTTCAAACCTTTTACTGGTTCAACACTTAATGGTTCAGACCTCTTACTGATTCAGCACTTACCCATTCAGAAGTTGCCAAGCAGCTCTTAGTTTTAGTTTATGTTTGGTACATCTCTGTAACAACGAGAGAGCTAACAACACGGACACGAACTCCGTGTTAAACCTTCTCAAACCACCATATCGATCAATCGAAAGGCCAAAAAAAAGAAAAATGAAAATCACTGTATTGACCGCAGACGAAAATCTCATCACACTAGATGTCGATCCAGAGGAAACTGTAAGAGCTTCTGCTTGCTATTCGTTGTTTCCCCCAAAGTTTTGCCTCCGTTTATTTATCCACTTGCAACTTTGCCTGCTAAAAACCTATATATTTTCCGTTTTGCCAATCAGGTCGAGAACTTGAAAGCATTGCTGGAAGTTGAGGTTAGGTTCAAATGATGTTTTGTTTAGTAATTTTTTTTTAGAAGTTTTTAAGTTCCAGTGATTAATTGATGAAGGTTTTTACTATGGGTGTTTCAATGAGCAGACGCAGGTGCCACTTCAGCAGCAGAATCTGCTATTCAACAGGAAGGAGATGCGGAATGGTGATAAGCTAAGTAGTCTTGGCGCTAACGATGGAGATTTGGTAACTATGGAAAGGGTGTCCCAATCTAGGTGCCTACTCCACAATGTCTTCTTAATGCATTTGCATTATCCTTAGTTTATGTCCCTGCCTTGATAGAATATTCCAAGAAAGTTCACAGCTTTGAGGTTATTGTGCCTATTGGGACTACATTTTATCCCATCCCAACCTCGTATGAGTATGATATTGTCCGTTTTGGTCCAAATTTTCACAAATTTATTTTTGGGCATCTCCCCAAAGGTTTTTTACTAATGGGATTGAGTTGAAACTTATATTTGTCTAAATTTCCCTCTCCCTCCGATGTGGGAGTTGGTTTGCTCTTAACAAACCCCCCTCAAACTAAGGACCACACAACTTGTGACCTCTTTTTCAGTGATTATCTAATTAATCTTCCGACCATTTCGAACTGTCACTATAATCTTGAGGGACATGCAGCCTGACATCCTTCTTGGTGGGAAGACTTTCGACACAAGACACTAACCACAAATCTCCTCCACTAGGTCACACCATTTGATCTATCAAATCAACTTGCACCGCCGTTATGATCCAATGAGACACGCTATCTTAACACCACTTGTCATGAAGACTTTCGACACAAGGCACCACTTGCAGATACGGGGCACCAGTAACTTCTCACACAATGAAGTCCGTTACTCTTGTCCACTATGAACCCGAGATTTGATACCATATGTTGTGATTGTGTTAACCCACCCCAATTAGTATGATATTGTCCGCTTTGGTCGAAGCCCTCACGAATTTATTTGTGGGTACATCTCAAAAAGGCCTCATACTAATGAAGTTAAGTTGAACATTATATGTTGGTCTAAGTTTCCTTCTCCCTCCAATGTGTGATTTAGTTTGCTCCTAACGTGCCTTACCTCTATCCCCCATGTACCCTTGAAGAAGAGGATGGTGTGCCCATTTCTTCATATTCTATTCAATGCTGCAAATTTGCCTCAATTTTTTGGATGAAGCTGGAATACTTGTAGTTGTTACTTGTATAATAACCTATCATAATACTTATATTTAAGAGAAATTTATATAAATAGGACTAAAACATAATGACTTCCTCAATATAGGACCAAATGTTTTTTTTCTCAATGTAGGACTATTGTTCATTATTCATTAGTCATTATTCAAGTAAATGTCCACCATCACTGGACATTATTCCTCCCACTAGACATTATTAAGTCCTATCAGGGAATAAAAAAGTTTAATTCTTACGTTGGAAAATGACTTATGTTTTAGTCCTATTTAGTGCAGTTTTGGATGAATTGTCTTTACTTAACATAACCATCATATTTTTTAGACCTAATGTTTATATAAATTAAAGTTTTTACAGCTTCCGTTTTTTCCTTCTCGTATATCCCATAGATTGACCTTTTATTGTATTTGTCATACTAGCTCATTTCTCTTGCAAAAGTACATATTTATGATTTCCACTCTACTGTGCTAACAATGAGCTGTATGCCTGTCCATTTTAGTACATCTACCAATGCACTGGGAGTCAATCCAGATGGTTCAGCAGTGAACCCTACAGCCTTCCAACAGCATTTGCGGAATGATTCCAATTTGATAGCTCAACTGTTCCAGGTGGACTCATTTGCTTTTTATGAAACTTTAATGTCATTGTAAGGTGTTTGTAGTGAAGCCAACTGTCTAAATAGATATAGAAGTAATAGAACACTTGCTTGTTTGAAATAACACCTCTCTTGTTTTAAACTAGTGTGTTATTATGCCTTCTTCTACCATCACATTGATGGTGAAGGGCAAGTTTCACCAAAACATGAAAAAAAATGTACATAGTACTTAGTAGTGTTGGATATCAACTTATCAAGTTGTGTAGTTTGACCTTTTTTTTAAAATTAAGTGGATAGAGTGGATACCCTAGGACCAAATGTCTACTTTATTTTGCACACTATATAATGGGTATGAAATGATATATGCTGATACTATACATAATATTGCAATCCACAGAATGATCCTGAGCTAGCACAAGTCATTCTTGGGAATGATATCAACAAGCTACAAGAAATTCTTCGTGTACGCCATAAACAGAGAACAGAGCTCCTTCGCAAGAAAAATGAGGAAATGGTAGATCTCTCTTGTATTGATATCCCCTCATATACTTTTTGATTTTGTAATTTTAGTTTTATTGCCTCGAGATATAGTTTTTTGTAGGCCTCTCTAACTAAAATGTACTCCTTGACTGAGTAGTTTATTTATTTATTCAGGCACTTCTTTATGCTGATCCATTTGATGTAGAGGCACAAAAGAAAATTGAAGAAGCAATCCGACAGGTATCTTGGTGCTTCTTTTCCTTTTGCCTTTTCACATTAACAAGTTCATGGAATAAGTCTTGAATGTCATATAATTCTTATTTATGGATCTATTCCATTGTTGGATACTTGGATTTGGATCTCTTTTCTCAAGAATGATTTTTATGGGAAATGGTTATGTGACATGTTAGATGAAAATTGTACTGGTTGGGATTTGAATTGATTACATAAGGGAACCACTACCAAAGCATATTTAGGAACCATATTGTATGCTAATTATCTACGATATGCTATTCTATTTAATCTTAATCTAACCTCTAATAAATAGTCTCAATGTTTTGGCACCATCTAGAGCTAGGCTTATAAATCATATGCACCAAACTTATCACAAATGCACACTATTCTTAAATTTTAAGTGACTTTTAAGAGAGTATTATATGTAAAGTGTAAACAGAGGTGGGCGTAGTGACAAAGGTAACTATATTTCCGTCTAGAAAGAGTATTCATTGCGTCCGAAAATGAATTGCCGAGACACTATTCTCACAATCAAACTTTGTTCACTTAGTTTACTTATTTTACTTACTCATTTTATAATATAAAATAGTCATGTCACTTGTTTTGAAGAATTTTATATGTAGTTGATAGAATTTGGGATAGGGTATGAATAACTGGATTGGCAATAAGACACTTGGGCTGAACCACATTAAAAGATTGAATCCAATCGATTAGTTAATTCAACTCAAGAGCTTATATACCGATTATTTTGCTCTTGAACTTTCCATGTGGGATGATATTCTAACACTCCCCCTCAAGTGGACAACTGGACCATTTTGAATCTAACCGGTTGACCACTTGCAAATAAATTCTCATTCCCTTGATTGTTTTTTTGAGTGCCAACACCTAAAGGACCACGAGCCGCTGGGTATGGACTTCCAGACGAGCAATCGTGTTAAACAGGCCACAAGCCGTTGTGTACATACTCCATACGGACAACTGGGCTAAAGACTAACAGGCCGCTAGGAATGAACGTCTAGATGGACACCTTGACAAACGAGGTGAACCAAAACCTGCTCTGATACTATGATAGAATTTGGGATAGGGTATGGATAACTGGATTGGCAATAAGACACTTGGGCTGAACCACATTAAAAGATTGAATCCAATCGATTAGTTAATTCAACTTAAGAGCTTATATACCGATTATTTTGCTCTTGAACTTCCCATGTGGGATGATACTCTAACAGTAGTTTTTAAATATGTAAATTTTATTTTTGAATTTTGCACCTACATAAAATAAATTGAATTGAAAATGAAGTGGGAAAAGCATCATAAAATAAATGTATGAGCAATTCAATTTTGGACGGAGGGAGTATTAACTATATATCAATCCGAGAGAGTATAAAGGCATTTATAAAGAAAGCATATGTAGTCTAACACTCTAAACCTTGGTCTGTGTCCCAGAGTAACACTTCAATTATTATTTTACATTCCCCTCTCGTTGGAGCATATCCATGTATGATGTCTAACGTGTTACAAGATAATAAATTGTAGTCCCACTTAGCTTTAGTAAAAAAAATATAATTGATCTCAAGTCTTCATATATGTAGTTAAGAATATGCCTCCTTTTTTTATATCTGGTCTTTTCATGAAAAATTGGATTAGATACTATAGTAAGGTTGCTTGAGTGCTTATATATCCCAGTACCCCACCAAAGTTTTGATTAGATTAAAGCTTTGAAATCAGCGTGATTCATCAAATTGTTTAACCACATAATTTCACACGTAGGTTGTGCCATAGCTCTGTGTTTTTATTTTGCCTTGGACTAGATTTCCACAAATAAAGACAAAATAACTAATACTGGTCTTCCCTTGCATAGTTGACTCGACCCATAAAAATTTGCATAACATTCATTTTTGGTACAAAAAAGATCGGATGACATTACTTTCTAGTCTCATCAGATGACAGTACCTCAATTTGCGGTATATACGGTGCTTTGTTCCCAAAATGGATGGTTTCTACCCCCTAACCCTCTAGCCATGGGATTGCCGATTACTAGCATATTTATGGATGCCAATCGGCGATCCAGTGGTGGGGACATGGGATTAGGGGTGTAAGAACCATCAATTTTGCGAGCAGAGCATCGTAGGATTCGTAGGTGCTCAAATGGCTAGTGTCAACCTAGTGCCCCGTAAGGATGTGTCAAGGGAACCAACTCCTTTTTAGTATAACCATGATTTTGATATATAATACCACACCATGAGTTTCTTTCGAACAACAACAAAACCTTATCCCACGCCATTGTGCCCTATCATGTACCATATCTGTAATGAGATCATTCACATGAAGGTCTCCCTTGACCCCTTCGTGCTAAGTCTTCTTAGGTCTACCTTTTCCTCTAGCCACATGACTATTCACCATTTGATCAACCCTTTTCACCGGATGCTCTATTGGTCTTTTCCTTTTCTTTGCATATCCAAACCACCTAAGACGAGTTTCCACCACCTCTTGTACAATATGTGTCACTTCTACTTTAGCTTTCATATCTTTATTCCTTACTCTACCTATACGCATATGACCGCTCGTCCATCAAAACATCTTCATTTTGGCCACACTAACCTTGTGTTCATGTTCACCCTTGTCTAATCGCAATACAGTAAAATTTCCCTTTAGTTTTACAGGTACTTTTTTGTCACATATAAAGCCCGAAGCAACTTTATGTGCTTCTTTAATTAATAAAGTAGCAGTAAGTCAATCAATGCAACTTTCAAGGCAGAGCCAGGGGTCTCATTGGAAACAACTCTCTACTTTCGAGTAGGGGTAAGGTTCGTACACACACCCTCCCTAGACCCTACTCTTGTGGGGTTCAACTGGGTTGTTGTTGTTGTAAAGCCCGAAACACTCTGCCATTTTGACCAACCGGCTTGAATTATGTGGTTAAGATCATTCTCTATTTCTCCATTTTCTTGAATGATACACCCACAATATTTAAATCTTTTTACTTGTGGTATAATATTTCTCTGACTTTCACCTCAAATAACAACAAAGCCTTATCCCACATTCCCACTAGGTGGGGTCGGCTATATGGATCAAATGACGCCATTGCGCCCTATCGTGTATCATATCTGTTGTGACTCCCTTGATCAATGCTTGCCAAGTGCTCTTAGGTCTACCTCTTCCTCCAGCCACATGCATAGTCACAATTTTCTCACGGGATGCTCTATTGGTCTTCTCTCCATATTGTCAACCCGACTTTCACCTCAATGTTACAATTTCACCTTCTGTTGCTAAACTTGCACTCCATATACTTTGTTTAGTGCGACTTATACACAAGCCTCACCATGAGTTTCTTTCAAAGAGCACAAAATTAGTTTTACAACATACCAACAATTAATTGATGGAGATGTAATAAATTGACTTATAACACATTGTATCTGAGATATCTGGATGAATGACTTTCGGAACCTTAGTTATATCATTCAAGTTAACGGAGAGTTTGATGGAGATGTCGTCCATCGTATTAGAACAAACAGGATGAAATTGAAATGCATGTTTTTTCAGGCAGGCAGTTAAACCAACCATGTTGTATGGGGCGGAAGGGTGGCTAATAAAGAACATCTACACACAGAACTTGTGGGTGGAAGAGATGAGAATGCTTAGGTGGATAAACAAACACACTCAGAGAGATAAGGCTTTGAACGACAATATCTGAGTTCAGGTGGGGTGGCTTCCATGGAGGATAAGTTGCATGAAGCTAGATTGAGGTGGTTTGAGCATGTGCAAAAGAAGTATGTATGACCCGATGAGGGGTTGTGAGAGGAGAACAAATTTGCGAAGGGGTAAAGTGAGACCTAAGGTGAGTTAGAATGAGGTGACAACAAATAGAGGACATGACCATAGTTTAGCGGCTTTGCAGGTCAAGACTCAAGAGTTAGAGTTGTAGGGTAGATCTTGTTTGCCGGCCTTTTTTGTAGCCCTACACTATGTTTTTTGTATGTCGTTTTTGTGCGGATTTTGTTGTTTGTTGGTAGTTTTTCCCTGTTCTACTCTTTTATTATTTGCTACTTAAATCTCCCTTGGCTTCTCTTATTTGATCTCTTTTACTACAATCTTTTGTTCTTCTTTTCATTTTAGGTTATTTTCTGAGATGAGGGTGTTCTAGAAATAACATCTTTACATTTTTGGGCAAGAGTAAGGTCAGCGTACATCTACCCTCTCCAGACCCCACTTGTGGAGTTTCTTGTGTTGTTCTTGTTGTTATTGTTGTTGTTGTTGTTGTTGTTGTTGTCTTCCTTCAAGAACACAATCCAAGGATGCCCCTCATTTATGAAGTACAAACTATGAATCGTTGGACCACTATGATTGTGCTCCCAGTTCTCCTGTTTGAGATGATATATCAAGCACATATTTTCTTTGAGTGAGTAGTGCCAGTTTCTTACCCTTAATTTAGTACCTAAAGTATTTAAGTATTTCAATGTGTCAAGATCTTTTGTTTAAAATTGATTATGAATAAAAAAGTTGAGAGATCAAATGCATATAATGTCATTTCGAGTAATAACTATATCATCTATATAAACCAAATAACACAATACAAGCTTTGGCCTGTCCATAAAAGGTCAAGCATTCCAAACTTAGAAATGGCGACTAAACTTTCCAAACCAAGCACGTTAACTTTGCTTCAATCCATACAAAACTTTGAGCCAACATACCTTTTCGTACCACCCCCAAAGCAAAAAATCCTAGAGGTTGCTTCATATAAATTCCCTTCTCAAGAGTGATGTGAAGAAAAACATTTTTGTTTGACAAGGTAGTGCAACATTAAATATCAAGTGAATTTAGTAACCTGAAAGGCGTGAATTTAGTCAAATGAGAAAGTGTTGGAAAAATCAAAACCATATATGTTTGATCATATCTTTTTTGCTATAAGACGAGTTTTATGGTAAGCTTCATAGACATTAGGATGAACCTTTATAAAAATTACCCATATTCCACCCAACATCCTTTTCCTCATAAGTAAATCTACTTAACTACTGAATCCCAAGCACTCCCTTCATCCCTAAATTAACTTTGAATTTCACTATTCACAAGTTCAAAATCTTACTTTTTTATTTGCTCATTTACTCGAATGATTGTTTAGAATAAAGTAGTCATTTCACATCTCATTTTATAAAAATTTTGATTTAGTTTTAAATATGTAAATGTACTACCTTTGTCCCAAAAAAATCTTGTGGTTGACTTTCACGTAGTATAATAAAAATGTTGAAAAATGATAAAGTGTGGTTGAATATTTTCCTTCTTTTCCTTAAAAGGGAAGTTTTTTTATACGGATGAAAAAAAGGAAAGAATGAATATTTTGTGGGGAGGAGGGAGTATATTTTAATTTTACACCAATATTCTAATAAATTAAATTGAAACTAATATCAATAACATTGTAAACACTAAAGTGAAGTTTAGTAAGGGTTAAACGGAGTACCATTTACATATGTCAAGGAACCAACTCCACCAAAAGCTCAAGCTTTTGATTGTGGCACAAGAATAGTTTTTAAATCCTCTAACACGCCCCCTCACGTGCAGGGGTGACTTCTTTGAAACTTGCACGTGAAACCTTAATTTTTTAAAAACTGAGTTTCGGTGAGTTTCGAACTCGTGACCTCTCTCGAGCTTTAGTTGGTTCCTTGACCTCTTGGTCAAGGAACCAACTCAACCAGAAGCTCAAGCTTTTGATTGTGGCACAAGAATAGTTTTTATATACTCTAACAACTAACATAACATTCATGTCATAATCATAGTTGAGTTTTGTTGAGGTTACTTAAGAAATGATCCTTTTTTAGGTTAATAAATAAACTTGCTTCGGTAATTGGCCATGTTTAAGCTTTGGTAACTAATGAACTAAATCGAAATGACACATTAAACTTCGTTTTCGTCTTATTTTTGAATGTTGTTCTCTCATTTCTCGAGGAAGCTGATGAAGGAACTTCTAATATATTGTCGTCCATTATTAGCTACTTTGGTTTTATATCGATACAGTTGCTTACACACGACCCTTAAGAAATGGGGAGAAAGGCCAAAGTAAGACTAAAACATTGAAAATATACCAAAATTGGACTTCCATGTTTTTATTTCCGAAATAGGACTTACATTACCAAACATGGTCATATACATTATCAAAAAAGTATAGTAATTTGCACATGTACACTGCCACATTACCACAATGCAAAGTCATATTACCACAGTGCAAAGTCCTATTCCGGGAAAAAAACATGAAAGTCCTATTTTGGCACTTTTCTCTATGTTTTAGTCCTATTTAAAATGATTTCTATAAGAAATGACCCTTGATTTCTTATTTCATTTACTTCTGCTACAATTTGAAGGTTTTATATCGATACAGTTTGTCCTCATATAAAGATAGTGAAATTTCAAGATAGAGGATGAAATGTTCTAATAGGTAATTTTTGAATAATGAGTGTAATAAAGTTTTTGACGAATATGCACAATTCTCACAAAAGAATGGACCTTTGGAAGATATTATATCTCTTTCAACAAGATACTTCTCGAGCTCTAGTGGGCTAACTTTGGTGCATATGCTCCTCCACTAGAATCTTTAGCGTTTAAAAATGCTTGGACAACCTTCGTCCTCATCTTGTTGTGAATGAAATTGGAGTACATACTCCTTTATTATTTAATTAACGAGAAGTTCAATCTAAGTTGCATAGAGGATTCAGTTTTCGTTCATAACATCCTACATTATTTATCTAAAAGTTCTGAGCAATGTGACGATGAAATGACAAAGATATGGGATGTGAGCAAAGACTGCGAGACACATTTGACTCTTTTGATGATGCCGGATTTTTTGAGTTTGCTGAACACTCCTTTGATGAGCCAATGATGCTTTTAATTGAGGATTCCAAAAACTAAGTTTTATTTGGGAAGAAACTAGAGGAGTTGGAAAGCATGGGAACAAATTGTAAGGGGTTGGAAAATGTTGGAAGTTAGAAGTTAGAATCCAAAAGAACAGAGCTTAACTTTCTTATAAATTGATTTTGAAATAACTTGAGTCAAACATCGTTAACTACATCGAGAACTTCCATCGTTAAATTCTTAGTTTGACTTCACGGAGTTTACGAAGTGCTAAAAAATAAAAAGGATGGTTGACAGGGAGTATTTTTTTGAAAGGATGGTTGACAGAAAGTGGTCTTCTTTCACTATGATATCATAAACTACATCATATAATGGACTAAAATATGAAAGGATGGTTGACAGAAAGTGGTCCCCTTTCATATTTTACTTCACTTTCAGTTGTAAACTAAGAATTTAATTTTCGGGACAGGGAGTAGATTTTGACCATTGGATTATGCCTTTCTTTTTTTACGTTTGACACCACCACAATTTCTTGCAATAAGCTAACAACATAAAGTCTGTGTTATGCAATCATCAGAGTGCTTTTAAACTATGTTCTGGAAGCACATTTTTTTTTACACTTGGGAGATCGGCTGTGATATTGCCAAAATCATGATGTTTGCGAAGAAGATGGAGATCAAGTTTTCCCTTGTATTCCATGGAGTGAACAAAACATACCACCTTGCTGAAAAAGCTTGTGGATTGAGGGACTCAAGTTTCGTTAGTATTAAACATGATACGGACTAAGGAGTCAAGTAGTCTGGATGCTCTAGATAAAAGTGCAACGTCTAGCTTTAGATTTCATTGATGTTTTCCGGCTGCCCTTTGCGGGTTCTATTCTCTCGGTTATTAATAATATTTGATCTTTCTTGCTATACACACTACGTATATATATTAATGTATTTATATATTCTTTTTTTAATATATATATTTCATATATTTGGATATCAGTTGTCATATTGATTCCTTGCATCCTGCAGAAAAGTATTGATGAGAACTGGGAAGCTGCGATAGAGCACAATCCTGAAGCTTTTGCAAGGGTGGTATGTAACTTTTAATGCTTGCTTATTGAATAAATGTAAAACTTGACTCTTTTTTTGTAGTGACTACTATTTCCGTTTTTATTAATTACAATCATCAGCATCATCATCATCGTCGTCATCATTATTATAATTTTAATTATTAAATTTACATCCTCTGTTCAATTTTTTGTTCATGTGGTCAATCTTCGTTTTAAATTTGCTTATTTTTATCTTTTTTTCATATCCAAATTTGGTCTTTGCATTCTAATAGAATTTTGAGTTTAGTTATCAAATAATTAAATTTTAATTACTGTTACTAATTACTATCTGTCCCAAAAATAAATTCTTAGTTTGACTTCACGGGGTTTAGGAAGTGTTTAAAAATAAAAAGGATGGTTGAAATTTGTTCGGAATAGAGAAAAATGTTGTGAGCAACATATTCTTTTTCTTGGAGACAAATGGGAGAAGTGTTAAGTTCATTTTACACGGACGAAAGTGGAAAGTGTTAATTTTAATTGGGACAAAGGGAGTATTTGAGAAATAAGGCATGATGGGAGGCGAAGAGCAACCACGCATGACTTATTTCTCTAATATTTGAAATTTGAATTGTTATCAAAGCCACAAATGTGGATACTTGATTACTTACTCTTTCAGACCCTGATAGATTTTGTTTCTTTCTCCCAGAATCTTCTCCAACAATTCTTGTCACAGACCAAGTTCATAACATACTTTTCACAATTTTGGAGTTGCTGTTTTAGGCCTCGTTCCGTTCAACTTATTTTTTCTTATTCTTATTAAAATCAGATCATATCAGATCAGATCCAATCAGATTAGATCAGATCAGATCCAATCAGATTAGATCAGATCCAATCAGATCAGATCCAATCAGATTAGATCAGATCCAATTAGATCAGACCAGACCAGATCAGATGAGATCCCATCAAGAATTATTATTATTATTATTATTATTTCTAAAAATGAAAAAGAATAAACTTTAGAAACAAGTTAAATAGAAAACTGAGAAAGTAATCCTTAATTATTAGACGTCGGAAAAAATATTTTTAAAATACATTGACAATGTCAATCTAATTCTACTTTTAAAATACATTTTTATTGCTACCTGTAATTTGAGTTTCTAAAGTTTTGTTCTTTTATAAGGATGAGATATTTTAATAAAAATACTATCTCCTCTTTATATTGATTATCTAAATTTAATTACTTTTTAATGTATATATAAATTGAATATTTATTCTAATGTATATATGAACTAATTATTAAAATATTAAATCAATATTCTTATTTCACAAAAAATAATCATAAAATAAAAATATTATTACATTAAAATATGAATGATTATTCTAATATAGGAATTAACTAATTTTATTTTATTAAAAAATAGTTATAAAATAAAAAAAATATTGATTATATTATAATATGAATTATCATTACAATTTTCAAACGTTACTATAAATTCAAATCAAATTATTGATTTGAATTTTAAATCAAATCATAATTAATCAAACCAGATCAGATCCAATCAGATCAGACCAAATCAGATCAGATCCAATCAGATCAAATCCAATCAGATCTGATCAGATCAGAACTACAAAAATTCAGATCAGATCAGAAAAAATAAGTTGAACGGAACGGAGCCTTAATCTTCTTCTTCCTCGCAAAATTATCAGAAAATTTGAAACGTTGGGTTTCTGTCCCATGCTTCACCATTTTTTTCAACACAATTTCATAGGAATCATAGCTTATTTCACAGCAAAAGTACTATGCCAAGCTTATTTCAACACAATTTCAAAAGTAGAAATTTTCCAGAAGAAACCTTAGAAAGTTTCCCCTTGCAATCAGAAATTTCAGAATTTTTTTCCACCCAGAAAATAAGAATCTTTTTTCCTTCTCAGTACATTCATTTCTAAAAGGAAATTCAGCAATCAAACACCACAAGGAAAGTGACACTTTAGAGTACTTACACTAGTATATGGGGAATGGTTTTTTGCTTCCTTGTCATTTTACCTTCTTTCCTTTAGTCAAAAGCAACCATTTTACCAAAAAAAGCAGTGAAAAGCAACATATTGTTTGTGATCGATCGCACAACCAATTTCAAAGGATCGATTCCATCAGCCCTGTTCAAACAATCTGACAATATTACAGTCCCTTGTATTAGAAATGACAGAAGAGAATAAGAGGAGGGATCCTTTAGAATGCAGTTCGATCTACTACTAGAAATTTCCGGAAGCCCCATTCAGTCCGGCTCAAATATCCCGCAATCCTGCAGTCTCAAATTAATGAAAGTTTTATCTGGTTTTATGCTTTGTGACTATTATGCAAGCTCAAGTTGTTTTGCACCAGCTTGAGGTCTTGAGTTGAGGGGGTGTTAAAATATGCTCCTTTGTCCCAAAAAGGAGTCTTGTTTCAGTTTACAAAGTTATTTTGAATTCAACATATTTGTTTTTTTATAATAGAAATTTTAAAATAAAGATTACTCTGTCTATTTTTAAAAACTACAGAGTACATCAAAATTAGATAAGTACAATCATTACATCCGTTTTCTAATCCTCTCTTTTAAAAATTGCATTTTACTTAATGTTACTTCCACTGCCATGGTTGGTTGGTGCCCTTTGCCACCCGCAATGACATTTTTTTCCTGATGGTTAACGACTAGTACATAAGTAAATATTACTTCTTCTAAAATTCAATTGTAATTTACTACAGTCAAGCCTTGCAATAGAAAAATCCCTTATACTTTGTGATAGTAAGAGTATTACCACTTTTGCTGCTTTTGTTGTTGTGGTTATTTTTATTATTTGTTTCTTTCAGGTCATGTTGTATGTTGACATGGAAGTCAATGGAGTCCCTTTGAAGGTATGGGAAATGATTTTGCTTGCTTCAGTGATTCTTTTTCTTAACAAGCTCAAAATCAACAATGAACAAATAATCATTAGAATCTTCAACCACTGGGTAACATAATATGAATCTAATATATATATGAACGGAAATATTCATCGACATTGGCTCCCAGTGCCTACAGTTCAGAATTGGTAAACTAAAACCACATAGAATCATTGATCTAGAATTTGGTTTAGATCTGAAGAGAAAAGAGAAGCTGGGATGAAGAAGTCTTTTCGTTCTAGAGTGAATCAAGAGAAACGAGGATACAAGATGGTTTAAATCCAAAGTCAAAAAACAAAGTGCAGTGGGAAGAAGACACCTTTTAGTTTCCGATTGAAATGAGAGAGTGGAATGATCGCGGTGCTGGGAAATGGAGTGCATGTGTAGGGTTAGAGTTATGTGCAGTGATAAGGATAAGATTGGAAAGCGGAACATAATGTACTACCAATTCCGGAAATGTGATTAATAAATAGGGAAGATTAAAAAGGGACGGAGAGAGTATTTTTAGGGCCGGTAACTATTTTTAAGGAGTACTCCCTTCGTCTGGAATGGATGCCTCACTTCCTTTTCAGGCTGTCTCGAAATAGACGTTATCTTTCTGCTTTTGGTAACCCAAGCGTTGTCACTTGTCTATTTTACCCCTCCCTATTGATTCAATCACTCTACTTTCTACCCAACCCCAATCATTATCCGGACTTCCAGGGAGAACACATTATCCTCCCATCCGTCGCTTCTTTGTTTCTCACCCCGTCTGGCGGCCGGAATAAAGTACTTGAACAGAATCTATGTGCCATGCCTCTCGGACCAGCTCTCCAATACGATGATTTCAAAAGTGGGCGATCCACACAAGCATTTGTTAGAGAAGGAAGATGTTTTGAGGTGGTCAAATGGTGAGCCTTTTGAAATTGTTCCACATAGATGGTTATTGCATACCCAAGTGTTCGATGTACTTCACTGATATCAACAATTTTGGAATTGGCGATTCATTGATAGATTTAGACCTGTGATGCAGCGGAGGTTGGGGATTGAACCAGTCAGGATTGAACCGGTAAGTTGGTTGTTGTTGAGGAGTTGGCCTAGCATTCAGAGATTTCAGAGATTTTCGGGGAGTTTGCTGTAGAGTTGGTTGGTAATGAGATCCAGGTGCTTTAAGCTGCTTAGGTTGCTCGATGGAGGGTGGGTATGCATCTAGAGATTCGGTTGCTCTTTGTGTGTAATTGTGTATCACCCTTACAATTTCAAAAATTTGGTAGAGGACTAAAGATTGGAGGTGAGTAGATTGTTGAATACTCTGTAATTAGTAATTCAAAGGAAGGAAAGAGCAGCTTCTGTGATTTAATGCAACACTGGAATGCAAGTAGAGATCTGGGCCAGAAGAAATGTGCTGAAATGCCGGAAGGAACCTGGTGAATGAATGTTATGGGCCACTGACCAGATATGGAGGGAGGGGCTAAGTTAATTGGTATGAGGGCAAAATTGGAAAGTCAGCACCAAAATGTACTCCACCTTAAATTATGTAAAGCCAAACATTGCCATCCATTGCAAGATGGAGGGAGTATTTTTAGCTGCGAGACTTTGTGGTTACTCTATACCAAGCCGTCTTCTAATTCTTGTTTGCTCATTGTGCTGATTTTAAGCTGCTTGGGTTTTCTTCATCTTTTGTTTTTGTTACTGAATTTCAGTTTATTATGCTTTATGTATCTTTGGTTGTATGCTCTTTCAAATACTTAATGCCTCAGAATTTATGCACTATGTTGTTGCCTTATACAATAACCCAGTATATTCTCAACAGTAGCCCAGTATAATCTGAACTTTGTTAGGGTATGGGGTCAAGATGTACTCAGCTGTAAAAGTAGAGAGACTCTTTCTGTTAGACACTATATTCATAAGTGGGAGTTTTCTTTTTCTGCTTGGTTCAGGCCTTTGTGGACAGTGGAGCTCAATCTACAATTATATCAAAAAGCTGTGCTGAACGATGTGGGTATGTTGCATTGTTACCTGTGAATCACAAATTTACAGTTCTAATCCCATGACAGTATGTTTACTTTGATTTTGATTGCCAAGCATTATAACCCTTACCATGATGTGGTATGCATTTATCACAGTTTATTCAACTCACGTTAGACTCATTATCCTGATTGGGACACCCTAGCAACCCTCACCCCCTACCCAAAACAAATTAGTAGAGGGGAAGATGATTGGCTTGACAAAAGTCCTAGGCTGTTGAATGAGAGAATGATAAAATCTATGTCACAATCGCAATACATCAAGAGAAAGTTGCATAACAAATTAGTTAGATGCTTACTTATAGGCTATCATGGGGTTATGGATTTTGATCCAGTTAGTTCTAGGCCCATTATAACAAGATAGGAATGACATTCTGCGCAAATAATGAACTGCTCGCTTACATGCTCATATACATGCTCTTACCTATTAAAACTTCATCTTTAATGCATGTTAATTTCTAACAAGAATGATGACTTGCTCGCTTACATGTTTTTTTCCAGATTGTTAAGACTCTTAGATACACGCTATAGGGGCATTGCTCGTGGTGTTGGTCAATCTGAGATACTTGGTCGAATTCATGTTGCTCCAATCAAGGTTTGCGGCATTTTCAAATGGTTTATGCTTTCATTCATTCCTTCTATGTTATTGATGTATGACTCTGTGTGATAGTAGTATAGCGGAGAGTCCTGGGCTTGTTTTGGTATAATTATTTATAGTAAATTGATTATCAGATAAAAAAAGTAATTCTCCAGTTCCCTCATGTTTAATGTTCCCCAGTCTAGTAACGTTTTTGGTATTTCTTCCCTTGCTGGGTAAAATCTAGTGATACTTGTAACTCATTGCATTGATGTTTTTATTGCAAGAATGAGTTGAATCAAATTTATTAGTCCTGTGTATTTGTGAAAAGCCCTAATCGCAAGTAAATAATTGTCTGGATGAACTCTGGCAGATTGGATCAGTCTTTTACCCTTGCTCATTTATGGTTCTGGATTCTCCAAATATGGAATTTCTTTTTGGACTTGACATGCTTCGTAAACATCAGGCAACTATTCTCTGTCCTTGGTGTGAACATATTTTACTCATTGCTGATTTAATGAAGGCTTAATTACTTGAATGTCATTGCAGTGTATCATTGATCTGAACGAAAATGTCCTTCGGGTTGGTGGAGGGGAAGTTGCAGCTCCATTTCTACATGGTTTATTTCGTTCCCATCACGTATCTTTTGCTCTTTAAGACTTTAACAGTGCAAAAGAGATTTCGCTTTTCCTTAGCTGAAATAATACACTAACCAACTTATGTTCAACCATGTTTTTGATTTGTCAGAGAAGGATATTCCGTCTCAGTTGATGGACGAAGAGAGGCCTGCAAATGAGCCTTCTGCATCCAGTGCACAAGTATGTATGCTCAACACTCACAGCTCTCTCAGTCATTTTATTTTTCTTGGATGAGTTCAAGTAGTTGAGATGCTGCTTGTTTTTCTACGAATCAAATTCACTTTAAGGGGTAAAACCTTAGACAAAAGACGCCAAAAGGAAATTCATCCACCGAGGGGGGTATATCAAGATTCCAAATCAAATTCCAATTAGCAAAATAATCCGGTCGTGTAACTCGTTCCCCTTGTAAGCACCGATAGCCACTCTTAACAGTGTAAATACTGTGTCTTTCTTCGGGCCAAACCCAATCGTCCTCCACTGCCTTGAAGAGTAGCTGCCTTTGAATTCGCTGGGTATCCTCCTCGGAAAATAAGTCATGTAATAAGTCCACCTCCCATTCAAAAGAAACTGGATCCACAAGGCAATCCACCGTCACATCCGGTAAAAAATGCAGCTTGGTAGAGAGAATCCAACGATGATCCGAACCAAAAATCCATGGATGATTCCAAACAGAAGTATTTTTGCCGTTCTCAATACGCCTTCTCTCTTTAGTGCAAATGAGATCATGCGCCTCCATGATACTTCTCCAAATAAAACTTGGATTCGAGCCTAATGAGGCATTAAAAAACTCAGTTTTTGGATAGTACCTGGCTTTGTAGATACGAGTCACAAGAGATGATGGACTTGTTAACAGCTTCCAGCCTTGCTTAGCAAGGAGGGCTAAGTTAAAGGAATGAAGATCCTTAAACCCCAACTCTCCAAACTTTTTTGGTTCACAAAGCTTATCCCAGGCCATCCAGTGAATTCCTTGATCACCCGCTCTGCCATTGTTCCACCAGAATTTGGTCATACTCCTTTGGATTGAGGAACACAAAGAATTTGGGAGGAGAAACACGCTCGTTGCATAAATACTAAATAGGCATAGCTTGTGCCACCATTTTCAGGAGAATCTCCTTCCTGGCTTTAGGAAGAATTTTTTTGTGCCAACCATGAAAGTGTTGCAAGACTTTTTCCTCAATATAAGAGAAGATAAGTTTTTATTTCTTCCGATATACGAAGGGAGCCCAAGGTACTTCCCAAAGTCATCAGTCTGGGGTACCATCAAGAACTGAGCTATGTCGTGACAAACATCAGGTTGTGTGTTCTTGCTAAAGCAAATGTTTGACTAATGAAAGTTGACAGCCTTTCCAGAAAGCCTTTCATAAATAGCCAAACAATCCCTAATCACACCCGCCTCTTGAAGGTTTGCTTTGAAGAACAGGAGACTATCATCTGGGAATAAGAGATGTGAAATTGGAGGTGCCCCTCTAGCAACAATGCAACCATGAATTGACTTCTCACGTTGAGCTTTCTGCAGAAGTAAAGAGAGGCCTTCTGCGCATATGATAAACGAGTAAGGAGATAAAGGATCCCCTTGTCTCAGCCCACGAGTTGGATAAACAAGACCCTCTTCCCCCCCCCCCCCCCATTAATCAAGAAGGAATAGAAAGCCGCTGACACACAGTGCATCAGTAGGGAGACCCACTTATTACTAAACCCCAGCGCAGAAAGCATACCTTTAAGGAAATTCCATGCAACTCTGTCATATGCCTTAGCCATGTCAAGCTTGACGGCGGCCCATCCAGTTTTCCCCAACTGTTTTCGCTTCACAAAGTTGCCAATTTCGCCTGCGATAAGAATATTATCAGAAATAAGCCGTTCCGGAAGGAAAGAACTCTGGGTTTCAGAGACAATCTCCCCTAGACGGGGTTTCATTCTATTAGCCAACATTTTCGCCATGATCTTATACACAACATTGCAAAGGGCAATGGGACGAGGGTTGGAACCCCCTTCCGGATTCTTCTTCTTTGGGATCAAGACAATATGAGCTTTGTTAATCTCAGCAGGCCAAGAGTCAGCCTCCAGACTTTTTAAGATAAAATCAGTCACATCCTTTCCCACAATGTCCCAATATTGTTGGAAAAGGCCGGGTTCATCCCATCAGGACCTGGAGATTTTTTCATCGCAAACAAGGCCACTTTAACTTCCTCAGCTGTGAAAGCATGATCAAGCTGAGCGCCTGAGCCCTTTTGTCATTATCAATACGCAAGAGAATTGTGCTAAAAAAGGCATCATCCTCCCTGCGAGTTCTGTTTGAAGAAAACAGATTCTCATAAAAATTAAGCACAAGTCGTGGAATATCTCTACCTGTTCTCCAGACTCTCGCCTCGTCCTTCAGCCTTGACAGAGTGTTTTTTCTTTTTCTTGCTGAGGCATAACTGTGAAAAAACCGGGTATTCATGTCTAAATTTTTAAGCCAATGTTGTTTTGATCTTTGTCTTCAATACGTTTCTTCTTCCTTTTCAATTCTAGCAATCTCGGTTTCAAGCTGTCGGATTAACTCCAGAGACGCATCATCATGCATGTCACGCAATCTCATTTGCTTCGTACGGAGCTCCGATATCCTTCGAGTGAAATTGGCAAAAGGGATTCCCCCCAGGTTTGCAACACACAACCGCAAGTAAAGATTTTGCATGGCAGCGGGCTATGCATGGGGTTGCTCCAGCTACANATCCATGCATTTTCAAATCTGAAACGTTTGGCACGTGAGCCTGGCAACCAGTCCACAGAGCAGCCCCTAATATCCAAAAAAAGAGCCGAATGATCTGAATGCCTCATAAGATGGTTCACAACTTTTGCGCTAGGGAAAAGATCCAGCCACGAACACAAAGCAAGAGCCCTATCCAGCTTCTCCTCAACCCACTCCGGCTTTCCTTTACTTTTCTCCCACGTAAAAGGATAGCCAACAAAAGGAACTTGAGCCAAACCACATTCATCAATACAATCACCAAATCTGTTTGATAAAGAATTTGGGTGTTTCGCCTGCCCCCGCTTCTCAAACTGAAACAGCAAATTGTTAAAATCACCAATCACAACCCAAGGTTTGTCCGATGCAGCTCGTAACCAGCGTAGAAGTCGCCAATACTCCTCCCTTCGACTCCTCCCAGGATAGCCATAAAAGCCAGTAACTTGCCACCGTACATCCTCCACGTTCCTCACCATAACATCAATATGGTTTCTGGAATAACTTAAAAGATTAACCGAATGAGTCGACCTCCAGAAGAAAGCCAAGCCTCCCCCAAGTCCAACCCTATCAACATGGAAAAGATGGTCAAACTCCAATTTAACACAAACCCTGTCAACCTGTGCGCGAAGAGCTTTGGTTTCCATCAGGAAAACAAAGTCGGGCCTGCGAGTGGATACAAGATCCACTAATTCCTGAACTGTTCATGGTTTGCCCAGACCACAACAGTTCCAGCTCAGAAGACTCATGGCTCCAGGCGGGCCTGGGAGCTAGGACCCGCCCTTAAAAAAGAGTTTGATTTATCCAAGGATGATGTTGAAACACTTGTCACGGCCAAGTCTTCCCTCCTTTTTGGGTGAGCAGCAACCATCTCTGAATCTTCTTTATCAACAAGATTGTCTTCCTAGTTCCTCCTTCGTCCCGAGAGAAGCTTCACCAAAACCCATATGTTTCTGCCCGATCGGAACAAGCCATCTATCCCCAAAAGTTTTTGGACTCCTGTTAGTTTTTGCTTTGAGCCAAAGACCGTAGGGATAATGCTCGTCTGGAATATTCGCCTCACGAACTTTAAGGCAAAACTTTTCAGAATGTCCAATAAGTCCACAATAGAAACAAAAGGTATGCAGACGTTCATACTTAAAATTTACCCAAAAACACAAACCATCTCTTTTGAGGAGTTTCATCCTTCGTTTTAGTGGCTTCAGGATTGGAATTGACACCCGGACTCTAAAGAATTCTTTCCATGGCTCCTCTACGTTCTTTTTGTCGCTCCGCACAAATCTTTCAACAAAATTTGCAATCTGTTCCAGAACAGTCTCCGAGGTGTATCCCATTGGAAGATCGTGAATCTGCAGCCATATATCCATCCAATCCAAAGGAACCTCCATCAGCAAATCCCCTTCCAACAGTTTTTTACATGCCAGAGTTGCGTTCTCAAAAGCCCATGGACCATCATCAATGACACGATCAGAGAGATGGAAAAAATGAAACAAGAACCTGTTTCGGCTGATGTCACGGACGTGCATGCCACAAACGGGGCGCCATACTGAAGCCATAATGTGCTTCATAAACTCCCTCTTGACAGCCGTATCCGTAAGAAACTTTCCGACGATAGTCCAAATCTCGCCTTTCTTTTCAGCCACTGCATTATGATCAGGCACTTCCGGTACAAAAGCCTCTTCTTCATCATCCAGCAAAATATTGGCAAAATTTCTGATGACGTCTCCGGCCTCCTTAGTCTCGGACGCGATGACTTTTCTTGGCTTCTTGCTTATAGACTAATGTGCATATGGTTGATGCTTATTGTGACACATCTCTTCCATTTGCCTCGAAATGAACATTAGGCCTTACATTAATTTTTTTACGCAAGTCTAGAGATGTCTGGTAGACTATAGAATTGTGTAGGGATTTATGGAGGATCCTGGAAAAGCTTAGACAAGTATGTAGACATATAAAGATATTAGATATTTGCATAGAATATTCTAGGGACACATTTGTAATTGTTTGATCCAGTAGATCTTAGATGTTCATTGAGATGGAAAAGTATAAATACCCATCCCATTGCTCATTTGTAAAACAACCAAGTTGAGACTTGAGAGCATTGTAAGCTTTTTCAAGAATTCACTACTTAGTTCATTCTTTCTTCCTACGTGACTACATAGTTAGGCTGAGTAGTATTCTATAGTGGAAGTTTAGTAGTGCCACACGGTTTGTTGGAATTGCAGCCAATCCGTGACATTTTGCATGTGATCGGGATACAGATTGCCTTGACATATATATATATATATATATATATATATATATATATATATATATATATATGTATGTATGTATATGTATATATATATATATGTATGTATGTATGTATGTATATGTATATATATATACACACACACACATTTATGTATGTGTGTGTGTGCACATACAAAGATGCATACATCAAGGGTAATCTTTCACCAATTTTTACACTCATTCTTGCACCTGCCATATCTTCCATTCAAATTGTTTTCACTAAAAACCGACCGTATGATTGAAATTTAGTACTACGTAGATCATCACTATAAGATTTCACAACAATCTGACATCGTTTTGTGATTCATTTATAAAATCAAAATTAATGTAGTTTAATGTTCTAAAATGTGTAAAAGTACAAGTTGTATGATTCATGATGAGATGATATGAGATTAATCTGAACGGAGGCAGATCTACATTAAAGGATTAGGGGGCCAATGCCCCCAACTAATCTTTTTTTTTATATATAATCATGTAGAATTAGGAAAAAGAAGAATTAATAAATTAAAAAGTGCCCTTATTAAAAAAAGCATACGTCAGGCAAAAAAGGTTGATTCATCCGTCTTTCAAAACTACAACTATTCAAAATACTTTGTTCATTAAACATTAGGCTGGACTAAATAATTATTTGAATAGAATTTAAAAATGAAATGTTTATAATATGACAACTAAACAAAGTAATGATGTATTTTGTAATTTATGTTTTTTATATTTTATGACTTTCATTTAAAATATTTGAATTCACGTTTGAAATAAACTTTTTTTTGTCATTTCATATTGGCTTTATAAAGAATTGGGGCGCTGTTCCGAACTCTTGTGCCATTCTTAGTTTTATTTATCGTAAAATGTGCCGCCAACTACTTTCGATTCTAGATCCGCCAATGGTTGTGAAATTTACCAGTGTTATCTACGTTTGAGAAACTTTCAATCATAGATCGGTTTTGAACGAAACAATTTGAGCGGAAGATATGGCAATGTAAGCAAGGGTGTCAATTAGACAGACACGTGCATATATTATACACTTATTTACAATGATAAACCCAGTGAAATCCTAACTCTGTTGGGGTTGTGGGGTCAAGATGTACCTTACCTTACCCTCTTGTAAAAAATAGAGGCTATTTGCGATAAATTTCATTAAAATCCAAAAGCTATTGTTTTTTTTTTGGCGATAGTACAAACACATTGATTCAGCTGTCATTAATATTGATTTTGAGAGACCTTATGAATTCTCTCCTTCTCCATATTTTTTTTTCTGGAATTTGTTTTTATGCCATTGGTGTTTTTTTTTGTAATATTACTAATATCCAGTTTGTTGTAGCTAAAATCAGATGTGCTAATAACTCAATTTGTATGTCTTTTAATGTCAAGGAACTTCTTGGACCTAAGGAGAACAGTAATATTCAAGTAGGAGGTCCTTCTGGTAAGCTCTTTAGTTCATCTTCCAGATTTATGTTTTTTTTAAATGCAATTTCTATGCTTTGGTAGACTTATAATTCAAAAAGTTCTTTGCGTCTCAGTTAGTTTAACTCTGCCATGATAATGCATATAAAAGACTAGCACCTATTCTTCTATCGATTTTCATTGAATCACAAACGTAATAAAATGGAGTTTACACGGTAAACAACATGATAAATAATAAATCAATTTTTTATGTTGTCTGAGCTTGCAAAGGAGTATAATTACTAAAATGATGGGGAAAATATAATACTCCCTCCATCTCATCAAGTCTTATTTGAACAAAAGAAGTTAATTTTCATCATATTTAATGTTTTGTATATAAAGTGTTCCATATAAGTTGAGTGTCTTCGATTAGTTAAAGCGACAAATAAATTTTAAAAAAATGTAGCTATGTATTGATTTCCAATAGTTCTATTTTGCCAAACTTTAAAATCGTATATTTTTTAAATATGTTTCTATTTATGGGAAGGGTGTTATACCCCCTCCGTCTCGAAAAGATAGTCACACTTTCCATTTTGGGTTGTTTTGAATTAAACTTCACCTTTTTTACTTTTGTATTAAAATAAAGAACATGCGGCTCACAACTTTTCTCTTTCTTCTAGACAAATTTCAACCATACTTGTACTTTTTCAACACTTTTATTTAACCCTGTGAAGTAAAACAGCCATTCCGTATGATCTTTTCCGTATGCTAGCGTATAATTTTACCTTTATGCAAACTTTACCTGTTTAGAACTGTTAACGTCTTAATGATTACTCTGTATTTAATTATCTTTCATTTCATTTGCCAAGTAGATCCAATTTCAATAAGCGTTTAAAAAAATTGTGTATTATCCACACAAATTACAGGTACGACTATAAAGTCATCCATGTTTAGTTCAAATGCAATGAGATTTGCTAACATCTTTTGTGATGGCAATATACACTTTACTGATGTGCAATTTCTTTGGGTGGCTAAAGGGATAAAGTTCACATACAACTTATTGGGCTGTAAAAAAATTCCTTTTATTTACTATTCCCTCCGTTCCACTTTACTATCAATAGGGGCAAACCTTATCTTCTTTCCATGCGTATTTTCATTGATAAAATAAAATAATCCCGTAACCTCTCTTTCGACAGAATTTTTTATGTAGTTTTTGTTATACAAATTTTATTTTTTATTCCTACATTATTTCTTGCATAAGTTGAAGTGAAATTAACTTTAGTGGAACATCATAAACCGTAAGCATAACCTTATTGTGGGAAAACAACAACAACACACCTAGGAGTATTTTACTACGTATTAGATTTAGTGATTCTTTTTTTCCAACATTTCATTGGTTTTGATGAGTTGCAACTCACACATAATTCGTTCATATCCGTGTGCAGGAAGCTCCAGTCGGGGTGCATCGGAGGTAATGCTGAACCGAGTTTCTTATTTACAGCAAGCATATTATGTGATTATCTAATATTCGTCACGAATTCACTAGCCGCACGTGGAATGTGATTGTTTTTTATTAAAGCAGGAACTTGGTTTTGAAGCAAAAGTTTCGAAGCTTGTTGAGCTGGGGTTTGGGAGGGATGCAATCATACAGGCTTTGAAGTTCTTCGACGGCAATGAAGAAGCAGCAGCTGCCTATCTTTTCGGTGGTTGACGAGTCCCCATTACGACGAGTTCACTAAATTTGTTATTATTTGTACACCGTCTTCGATTTTTTTTTTGTAAAATCAAAATGTCCAAAGAAATTGTTGCCAAGACTCGCCCTTGTTTAGGGGAAAGGGAAAAAATGGCTATTTTCTTATATTTAATCACTTCTTTTGTATCTTTCCACTGGTCATGTTATTGGAACTTTTACAACATGGGTTTTGATTCATGAATGGATATGACTATTGTACCCAACATAGTTTTCGTGAGGCGTCATATTGCTTTGAGTCTGAAGAGTTGTGTTTGAGTTCAAGTCTACAGACATTTTATGCAAGGTACTATAGTACTCTTCGAAATCATTGGCAATAGCTTTGTTATTAGGGCCAGTTCCGTTGACATTGGTTCCAGTGAAGGTATAACCGGATGTACCTAGAGATAAGTACATTTGGGTAGTACTCATTACTCATTCTCGCACAAACATAACTATTCATTTCGAAAGTAGTGTGGTACTCATTCTAAAATAACGTAATACTCACTCTGAAATAATGTAGTGTTTATTCTGAATAAAAATAGTACTCATTCTCAAATAACTTAATGTTCATTCTCAAATAAAATGACTCGTACCATAAATAACTTTTTCTCTGTGCGCTTCTCTTACGCGACCCGACCCGACTAGGGTTTTCATCCCCACGCCTCTACTCCCATCTATCGCAGCTTTTTTCCTTGATATACGCGACCTGATCTGCAACCTCAATCTGTAATGCCGCCGCAACCTTCGCTACACTTAGATCTTCCTTCTCCATCGTTTTTGCTAGCTTTTGCCACCATCGCTCCTCGTCATCTTCGCTTCTCCATCGGCTTCCGTCTTTGCTGCTCCATCGTCTTTCGTCTCCGGTGGCTTGACTCGGCAAATAGAGGAGCTGCTTGACAAGCTTCCGGTCCGCGGCTTCCGTTCCATCGCCTAGGTAATTTTCATTTCTCAATTAGTCGGCTGTACCGGAAATTCGGTACAACCGGATGTACGATATAATTTGCAGGTTCCTGTTGACATTAGGTGTCACTGTGTTTTTGGAGCACCTATGGTGGTCCGTTCGCAAAATTGATGATTCTTCTGGTAATATTCCCCACCTCGGCTCGACCAAAATACATCCCTCAACCCCTTCAATCGTTTCCTAAATTTACTTGAATTGATGTTTAGAGAGACTAAAAATACATTTAACCTTTCATTTTTAGTGATAACGGTTCTTGTTTCCACCTCATTCGCGAAGTTTCCACTTACTTAAACGACCACATTAACTCTTTAATTATACGTGGATTAAAGTCCAATTTACTTCTCTCAGTGAACGTCCGAACGGGTCTGAAGGGGCCCTCGGGGATGTGGCTCATCTTTTTTTTCTGTAAATACAAAAAAGACTAGGAGCAAAATAGTAATTAGTTAGCATTTGGAAATTGAGAGTAATATCATAAAATTATGAATTTCTGAGAGTATTTACTTCAATTTTTCTTATATAAATTATCATTTTTAGTGCTATTGATTCGATTACAATGTAGTAATGAGGCTGGGGGAGTTAATGTTCTGCCTCTTCTACGACGGGAATATGAGTGAACCTTCCCATAAATTTTAGGAAGTGGACATCCTACCACTCATGCCAAGGGAGAAACTCATGATTTACCACTTTATTCCTCTGTATTGAACTTCCTCCGTCATAACGTATTTGTTCAGTGTGACTTTTTCGAGTCAACCTAGACAAAGTTTAATCATCAATTAATACTAAATTGTGTTATTACAAGCAGATAAAATTTAAAAGTTCTAGGCAATAGTAAATCTAATTAAGTCATTTTTATACCAATATACATTATATATTTTACTTAATTGAGATCTAAATTTTGCCCAGTTTGACTCGAAAAGTTAAACTGAACATATGCATTAGCACGAAGTTAGTATACATTCCCTCCGTCCAATAATAAACTTCCCAGTTACTATTACGAACTCTCGATAACTTATGTTTATTTGCAAAATTTCATCAATTATTTGATAAGATAAAATATTCTTGTAATATCTTGTTTTGTAGAACTCTGATGTAGTTTTAAACAATTGAATTTGTACTTTTTTATGATATATCAATTTGTAAATAAAGTGATTTTAAAAAAAGATGAGATTCTGCACGTTGTTCAAAATGAAAAGTTTATTGCTGGACGGAGGGGGTAATTCTCTATCACCCAATTTTGTCTTATCCACCCTTTAACCTCACTCTTACAGACATTACAGACAGAGAATAGTGTCCAATGTCTGTAAGAATGAAGTTAAGGGATTCAAATGTTGGGGTTAAAATATCATTTTCTCAATAACTTATGCACAGTCAAGGGTAAAAAGTGTAAAACTTTAATTCGGGAGGGATAGAGTGGTAACTTGGCTCTGTTTTTTTTTTTTTTTTTTGTGAAGATTAACTCGGCTCTGTTAATTACTCGGATCCATGTAACAATTTCTGGTTTTAAATAATTTGATTAAAAGGACAATATTTAGGATTGTAGGGAGAACAAAAGAATAAAGTGAAAGGAATACTTGTTAAGAAAAGAACGGTAAGAAGGCTTTAGATGCCATTCTAGACGTTGAATTATGTAATCTATATAAAGAAAAGAAGTGGTAGGATGTCATATGTCAAATTTCTTTTTTTTTTTAATTTTAATTTGTTTGTAGTATGACAAATTATTACATGCATCTAAGGTCCATGATTAACTTTCATTTATACTAAATAAGTATTTTCAAGTGTTGAAATAAGCATTTTTATAACTAAAAAATATGTGAAAAGACCATGTGAACCTTAGGTCAACCATAAAAACACTCTTGCGGTATACAAAACTTCGTCTATCCCAAAATTAAAGTAGTAAATTAATTTAACAAAAAATTATAAAAGTGGTAGAAAATAAGATATACTCAATACTACGTATTCATAGTAAATCAATAAAAACTTGCCAAGGATCTTTTGGTCCAATGACACCATTATAACTTTGTCAAATGAGAGATCATGTCCGATCCCGGTGGAGCAATAATTCTATGACTTTAATAGATTGAGAATGTATGGATTGATACCATCTTGTAATATTAGTGTTAAAATATACTCCTTCCGTCTCCCATAGATCTTCCCAATAGCCCTTTTTCTTTGTCCACAATAGATCTTCTCATTTCATTTTTTAACAATTAAAATAACACAACTACCCCCACTTACTTTATTTATTACACCTCACCCACGTCATTTAATACACTCCACCCATTTTTCATTAAGGGTATTATGGTAAACTTTCACCTTTTTTCAACTCTCCTTAAAAACCACCAAAAGTCAAAATGAGAACATCTTAGGGGGACGGAGGGAGTAGTACAAACTTCTCCCTACTATGGTAATTTGTATGTACAAGTTACTTCCACAAGTTTCTCCTTATCCTTTTCTCATTCTGACAAAATAAACTTTTCATTCCTTTAAAGGAATGAAATGGGTGATCCACATTGATTCTCTCTATTCTGCATAAATCTTAATTACTCCCTCCGTCTCAAATTATTTGCCACATTTGTATTCCCGAGACAAAATATCAAATTTTTTCAATTCATTTTATTTACATATTGGTAAAGAAATAAAATATAAAATTTACATATAAAAAAACTACATGAAAAGTTCTTCGAAATAAGAGGTGTCAAGAATATTTTATTTTATCAAATAACCAATGAAAACGTCGAAATAAACAAAAGTTCCCGCGACTACTGAAAAAGCAAATGTTGTGAATATTTAGGGACGGAGGGAGTAAATAATACTCTCTCCGTCCTAAAATGTTCTTCCCAGTTACTTTTTACATGGTCAAATTTTAATTACTTTCTTTATCTATTTTCATTAGGTATTTGATAAAATAATATAGTCTTGTCACCACTTGTTTTGTAGAACTTTTGATGTAGTTTTTAAATATATAAATTTTACTTTTTAATTTCACACCTACAATCAAATAAATTGAATTGAAAATAAAGTCGGTCAAACCTCGTAAACAGAAACGGGAAAAACATTATAGGACGGAGGAAGTATTACATTTTCTTAAACTGAAAAGGCAAACAGAAAATTTAATTTGGGACATAGAGAGTATAATCATAACATCATTCAAATTGTTTAAAGCGGTGGGGGCTGACAACGTCAATGACATGCATGGACTTGAGATAGGTATTATTGTAGGACTCAAATACCTTAAACGGAGTATAATTGAATTATGGAAAAATTATCCAAAATAATCTCAACTTTATTTGGTCTTTCAAAAATAATTCCACATTTTAGTGTGATGCATAATAATATCAACTTTACTGAAATTTGGAGTTTTGAGTCGCCGTTGAGTTTCTAAGGACGGGTTAACGAAAATGACTGTTTTGCGCAACAAAATGAAAGTTGAGATTATTTTTGATAAATTTTTATATTTTTTTGAATTTTTCATTTAAATTTTAAAAATTACTTTCTACCTCCATCATTTCTTTTTTCTTTTTTAAAGATTAGTCTTACTTTAAAAAATAAAAATAATACATATAAAAAATTAAAAAATGAGAAATGTAAATAAACTGATACAAAAACAATAAAGCAAATAAGGTAATCAGTAGAAACTTACTAATTGGTAATAAATAAAATAAAAATATAGGGTGTGGTGGGTTTTAATATTTTACGCACTATACAAAGTATTAACGTATCACTTCTTATTTTTTCGAAAAAATTACCTATAATAATTCTAACTTTATCGGACGACTTGTTCTTTAAAAAAATAAGTAGTACATTAAAGACTCTGTATAGTGCGTAAAATGTTCAAACCCACCACTCCATATATATTTATTTTATTTCTTATCAGTTTCAGTTTAATTTCTATTGATTACATTATTTATTTCATTAATTTTGTATGATTTTAGTTATTTTTTTCATTTTCATTGTTTTTTATATCTTTTTTTTTATTTTTTCTAAGGTAAGAATAATACTTAAAAAGGAAAAAGAAATGGAGATAAAAAGTAATTTCAAAAATTTAAATCAAAATTTCAAAAACAAAAATTCATCAAAAATAATTCCAACTTTTATTTTGTTGCGCAAAACAGGCATTTTCGTAAACCCGCCGTTAGAAACTTAACAGCGACCCAAAACTCGCAAATTTCAATAAAGTTGGGATAATTATGCATCACAATGAAATGTAAGATTATTTTTGAGAGACCAGGTAAAGTTGAGATTATTTTAGATTTCCTTAAATTATATACCTGAAATGAGTTTTAAGGATGTGCTTTGAGAAATTCAAATGAAATTGAAAGTTATACACACAACAAAAAATTATCAATACTTGTATGGATGTGCTTTGATAATAGTGAGAACTATTAGGAAGTATAATTAAATTAGGATACTTCTTTCCTTTCCTACTAGGATTATTCTTTCCTTTCCTACTTGTACTTTGATTACTCTTGTATTCCCTATATATAGGGTCATATCTCTCAATATTCAATAAGACAAGTTATTATCAAATTGTATCATGGTATCAGAGCTAAGGCTCTCAAAAACCTAGCCTCTCTTTTTTTCCGACCGCCGCCCANGGCGTCCTTACCCTCCGGAGTAAAACTTTTGCTTCGGAGTCTCCACAACTTAATCCCAGAAAAACTCACCGAAACAAATTATCCGGCATGGTCTCTCAATGTCCAGACAGCTCTTTCAGCTAATCTCCTCCTTGGATGGATTGATGGTCATGAAGCAGCCCCGGCGCCAACTATCTCCAAAAACGATAAAACCGTCCCTAATCCAGAGTATACCTCCTGGACCATCGTTGACACACAGATCCGCACCTGCCTCCTAGCGGTCATCAGCCCCTCCGTTCACAAACATGCTCGCGGCTTCACCACATCTGCTGCCCTCTGGGATGCTTTGGCCGCACGGTACAACTCCGTGTCCACCGCTCATGTTTATCAGCTTCGGGACAAACTCCAAACTCTTCGTAAAGGTACCAAAACTATGACACAATACCTTGATGATGTGGCAACTATTCTCTCGGATCTCGATGCCTTGAAAGAAGAGATCCCTGAACGTGATGTGGTGAATGCTGTTATTCGTGGTCTTCCCACCGAATACTCATCCTTTAAGCAAAACATTCGCATGAACAATACCAATATTTCGTTAAATCAGCTTTCTGGATGGCTGATCTCCGAAGAAATAAACCTGGAGATGGAGAATAAACTCAGCCTCACCGAGTCTACCATCACCGAACCTCGCACA